GAGCAAGAGAAAGCGGCAAAGGACATGCCGGCAACGGCTCTAAGGCAAGAGACAGTTCTGGATGCGGAGCTTTTCTTCCTTGCAGAAGAGGCAGCACGTAGCGCAAGCGCGGCGTCTCGGCGAGGCCAGCCGCTAGCCCGTCGCATCGACGCGGACGTCACTGGCCGTCGCAGGCAAGAGGCCAGCACGCCAGCGTCGCCGGGGCCGAGCGACGACCGTGCTTGGGCGGCAACGGCAGCAAGCGCAGCAGCGGGGCGCTTGCACGGAGCGCTCGGCAGCGCCAGCACGTCCGTCTCAGTGACGTGGATGGGCTGGATCTGAATACCAGCCACTGCCAGCCACGCCCGCAGTTTTTGCCAGCTCAGCATATGAGATGCCTTTGCGATTGCAGAGAGAGTGGTAGACCGCGACAGCGGCCTCAATGGACGGACAGCCAGGCAGACAATTTCCCACGCCGCAGGCACGCACCATCTCCTCGAAGGACTGAAAATGTCGCACTCCAAGCACACGACACACCAGCTCCAATCCCCTGCAGCAACGTGAACAACCCAGCCCTCCAAGAAACGGCCTTCCACGCTTAGGCCGGCTGCAAACACGGCTGGCCGTGTCCGCAGCCCAACGGCAGGCCATCCGACCAGCACCCGTTGGCGCGCACGCGAGCCAAGAGGTGGCGGCCGGAAGACCAGTCGCTCCACTGCTGCGTGCGGGACACGGCGGTCGCGCGTGGCATGATTTGTTACAGCCGAGAAGTCAGTGGCGCAGGCGCGACCTTGCTATAGAGAGGAAAGCTGAGGCCAGACGGGGCACACAAAGCAAGAGCAACGTGCACATGTTGAGAGAAACCACTTGCAACGTGGTCCAAGCACCAGCAAAGCCGGCACATGCACACAAACCTTTCCTGGGATGCCGGCCTCTGCTGCACGCGGATTGTAGTGGGGCGGCACCGAGAAAGTGAAAAGCGAGCACCTGCACGAAGCAAGCAGCAACGCACGAGGACTACGTGCTAGCCGTATCTCGAGCACATGCGACAGGGCCGCCACACCGTCGCCAAAACGATCTGCAGCTTGCAGCAAGTCACAAACACACACAATCCGACCAGAGCTAGGCGCAGGGGCTGAGACTCGACGGCACGGGGCGGGCGCAGGCAGACCTGCGCAGGAAAAAAGTAAAGTTGTTCCGGCAACGGAGCATGGACGGGCTGACGACGCCGCGACTTTTACCTCGCCAGCTAGCAGCTAGTTGCCAAGGCAGCCGAGCGCACGCATAAGTGCGCCGGCTCTGTTCTGGAGCGAAGCGGTGCGTCGCCAGAGCTCCACCAAGCGGCTGCGGAGCGCCGCCTTCGCAAAGCGGGCGGCACGAACCTTGCAAGGAGCTATATACAACGGACGCGGTGAAGTCTGCACTCTGCACAGAGGAAGAAACGCGGCTACGCAGGCCTCGGCCCACAAGTCCAAGAGTTCATGGGGCAGAGGGTTCACCGGGGGCAGCAGAGCCCGAGTCGCCTGCGTGGGAGGAAGGCGTATAGGATCAAAGACGGGCGGCGGTGTAATGTCCAGCGGGGGAGCCAGGAAGGCCACCTCGGCACGCAAGCCGCCAGACACAGGAGAGACCCGGAACTGGACGGGAATTACGGAGCTTGTCCAAATGCAGCCAAGGAGCAATCAGTGCTGCCACTAGAGCATACCGTCCGGTCCGCAGCAACGGTAGTTGCACAAGGTGCAGCAGGTAGAAGCCCATGTCCGTGGCTCGCGCCTCCGCGCCGTAGAGAAGAACCAGCTCGCCCCGCAACTCCTGGTCAAGATGGCGCTCCAGGTGGCGCGCAGCGACGCCTTCCAGCCAGCAGCAGCACGAGCGAGGCACAGACACAGAGCAGACAGAGGCAGTTCCGGCTCGAGCCTGCCAGCCAACAAGCTTGGCGCTCCGCGGGAGGCATGGCATCGGCTTCGCGCAAGAGCAAGGCCATAGTGCCAACGAACAAGAGTCACAGCGCAGAGGCTAAAAGACAAGGCGGAGCCGAAAGCTGCAGGGAAACTGCACGCACAGACGCGGACCAACGCTACATCGCGTTCTGCGGGAAACCTGGATGAGAACGCTGCTTCAACACGAAAAAAGAAAACGCCGACACGAAATCGCTCTAGGAGGGCGAAGGACGAAGAGGGACAAAATCCCACAGAA